CCCCCGGGGTGACCCCACCGTGTGCTCCCCAAATGGATGCGTCGGGCTCTGCGTGGCTCGGGGCTGCCTATTGCCAGCCGTTTCCCCAGGATTAAAAACAGCAACAGCACGGCTGTCGAGATAAAAACGCTTTCTTAAATTAAAATAATAAGAATTGGATGGAGCGGTCTAGACAACATACATCTTCCCAAACTCCTGGAGGGCCTACAGTAAAACAAACTGCAGAAGTTGCCTTGCACTGTTTTAAACGGCTGCCGCGGAAGATTAAAATTCAGGTTAAAGACAGTCTTTCAATCACAATCTGCCATCATCTCTTAAATTCGTTAAGCTGGTCAGCTCTAAAACTGCCAGTTACTGGTTGTTAAAAACCGTTGGGACCACAGCTAGAATCACCACAACTGAGGTAGTCAGATGCTCCCCGCTGTACAGCCCTGTTCTGGCTCCTCATAATTTGCCAGACTGGAATGAATTCGGCTGCACCTTCCTGCCTTGGCAGCCCGGGCTGGCCATTTTCCAAACACACCAAGTCCTTTGGCTCTTCCAAGGATGAACGCAGAGGAGGAAAGGAGCATTGCTTTGACCATTCTTGGGCTTGTTGAGGTTTTTTGGTTTTAGGGACTGTAACTCTGAAAATAGAGCCTTGAAATTTGGCACGAGGCAGCCTTTTATTGGCTTTTGGGTGGGTTTACCTAAATTAGTCACGTTATTGGGCTTTGAAGAGCAGCAGCTCACAACACACAGCAAAAACATGCCTGATTCTGGCTGCTGAAGTCCCTCTTTGAGGCACCTCTGCTCAAAGCCCGCTAGAGCAGCCCCCCAGAGAATGGGAAACTTCAGCTTCTAGTTAAAAAAGCCTTTCCTGGTGGTACAAGAGCAGTGGGACTCATGAGCACGGCCCCTTTGTCAGTCCCCACCTGCCCCAGGTACCTCGGCAGATGCTGGGCCCACTGCTCCGGCACCCAGCAACATTTGCTGCCAGGACTTGCCCCATGGATCCCACCCCATCCACGTGCACAGGCTGCGTTAAGGGATATTTTGAAGGTCACCGTGTTACCTGGTCAGAACATCAGAAATGTCCAAAGTGAAGCATTCTGTACCAATCCATGGAGACTTTCTTGCACACGCCTGTTCTAATGCAGTTTTTAATTACATTGTCACAATCTGTTTTCCGTAGGACACCCGCACGCCACAGACCCGCTCCGTAAGTCAAAAAGGAAACAAGTTTTGGCCAGAACCAAAAAACTGCCCACAGAACAAAGCAAGGGCTGCAAGACGTAGACACAGTCCGACAGTGAGGACAAGACAGAACTCTCCCAGAGACCAGGATTCTCTCCTTACCCTTGCCGCAGGCTTTGCGACGCTAACGAAGTCGTTAAACCAAACTTTTGGGTGCTGACGGTTGTATTGCCCACATTGCGGGTGTGTGGCTTGAAACCTTTAGCCTCAATTGCTGACATCCATCTTAGTACAGCTGGAAGCAGTGGGTGCTGTGCTTGCACGTATGAAGTGCTGTATCATGTTAAATGCTCTGAAAAAGCAGACATTACGCTTCTCGGATGGAGTACCCTGAATTAGTCAAAACTGACCTTAATCCATCCACACGTCACCCTGACCCATCTCCATAACGGGTGGTTGAGGAGGATTAATGAAGGTGCTGAAGCACTGATGCAGCGTAGTGGAAAGTACCGTAGAAAAAGCCCTGAGGAAATGAATAATTCTGTCTTCAGAGGAACCCGCCAACATCCCTGCTCCGGTCCTGTACAGCACACTACAGCCTTACGACCCTTCTGGCCATTCCTCCAGGATTTCTGGACAGCACCTCTAAAGGAGGTCACAGCACGCCAAAATCCAGGTACGCAGGTCAGTTCCTCGGTGCAGACGGGTTGCGCACAGCAGGTCCGAAGCATCCCTAGACTCAACCTGAGTGCGTTTTTACTATCCAGAAGGTAGTTCTGCTTTGAAAACTGCACACAGGAATATTGGAGCCGTATTTTCTATTGCTGCAAAATCCAAAAGTGGTCAGATATGTGAATAATGTGCTGAGCTAAGGCCTAGGATATGTGCTGAACAATAGGAACAAGCCAGCATTGCTGAGCCCCTCGCTGACCATCTCATGCACTGCACGCCGTAGCGATGCAGAAGAAAAATAATATCTGAACATGCAATTAAAACCTTGGTCTGCTTCAACAAAAGGGCGTCGATTAAGTCGCACTGGCAACAAGAATTTGGACATTTCCGCATTTTGAGTACTTTCCTGGGCAGTAGCGATCGCATGCTTAACAGATTTTTGGCTACCATATATGCACACTTAAACAAAACTTGCATACAAATGCATATGTAACACAAAATACACAGAGATAACACCTGACGGATGGTTCTACAGAAAGGTCACGTATATGATATATATGATACTCAGTTTACATAGTATGACATTTATGTAACACGAAGAGCTCTGACAGGGTGTTGTCAGCTGGCATTTGCTAAGAGAAGAAATAAATCTAATAATAAAAACAGAAAAAGCATTTTGGAAGAAATAATACTGCACAAATCCTCTAAAAGGACAGAATCATCTACACAACAAAGGCTCGGCTGACTGATGCTAAAATAAGCAGTTATGCAACAAGTAAGAAATACAATCTCCAGGGAAGAAAGCAGCAACATTTTCCTTTCCTCTTCATGCACCGGTGCTTATTTTTGCATACCTACAAGAAAAATATAGGCAACATTTCGACGACGAGCACATAAGTAGAATTAACAGATGTTTTTAAGTGAGGGATGGAGTCTTTATGAGCTTTGTGCAAGTTCTGCAGAGTTAGATGCCGTCACTAAACGTGAGTCCCCCAAGGTGCCGCGGAGCTGCCGCTACCACGCTTTAGGGGAGCGCGGTGCCGTCACGACTCGGTGTGAATACGTTGATTTTAGCGGTGAATCGGCTCAGCGTAGAGCTACGATTACAAAACTTAAAACACCTTCAGGAGAACAAGCATGCAAAATAGTTTGTCTCCCAACACTTCGGTTGAATAAAACTTCTCAACCGGACTTGGGACCAGTGGAAAAATCTCGGTGCAGACAGATCTCACGGGAGAGGAGGAAGAAAACCCAAGTGGCCTTGTTGGCATCAAATTTGATTACTGTAGTACGTTAGCACCAGACACGCGGATAGAATAGGTCCAAGGGAGTGCGAGTGTTCCCCAAATATAATGAAAATTCAATGTCATTTTGAAGACCCTTAGAAACAATCAATCTAGTAATGTTAGCTAGTGAGAAACCACGAGGAAAGCTCAGTCCCTCAGCCTGTTCCGGCAGTGATACCCACCCGGCCCTGAAGCCGGGTGCTGGAGGACCACCACAGGGCCAGGACATGCTCTGATGACAGAGAGCTCGTGGAGATCCTCAGAAGCACCACACAACTTGAACAGTGCAGGAGACACGTGGCTGCTAATTTACTGCCTTAGATACCCTCTTCTGAGGCTCTTTGGTAACCAGAAGTCATCAAAATAGCCTCGTGGCTACTTTAATTTCTACCAAGGACCAGAGCAGTACACAGCCATTCCAGGAGGGGAACACAAAGATGCTTTAACATCTTGCTACACCCGTATCCCAGATAGGGTTGTCCGATATCCTAGCTATAACCAGGATATTTAGTTTTTACTAAAAAACATGTTAATTTGGAAAGTAGTAAGAAGATGCAGTAGAAGGAAAAAGAACAAGCTCTGTTCTAAATTACAATAATCATCACTCCCATCTTCGAGAACAAACTACTACAGAAAGATCAAGGGAGAGGTGGCTGCTATCGTCATCATGTAAACTAATCCCTTTTCTTTCTCATTCATTCTGCATAATTCTTTTCCTCTCTGAAGCTAAGGAAAAAATACTATACTTACAGGAGAAGAAAATTTGATTTGGCAGATCAGTGGATAGTGAGATTTTGTTTGCAGTCTCAATTACCTTCAGCAGCTAGAAATTTGGTATCAAAATAAACTGTAAACAAAAAAAATAGATATAGCATTACAAATGTCCATCCCTTGATGGATAGCTCAAAAATTCTCTATGTTCTAGCAACAGCTGCTTTAATATCTTTCAAAGAAATGACAGCCTGCCTCTGTCTGAAGGGATTAACTTTCAGGAATGCATCCGTAAGTGGTTTTGTGCAAAGATGCTCACACGTTCTTGGGGGTTTTGCGCACCAAATTTTTTCTGCCAAATTTCAAGATTCCTTTTGTTGCTGTTGTTAGTTTCTCTGTTTTCTGTAAGTTCATTTCTATTACAAAGCACATCTAATGCGACACACGTTTCATCCAGTCCCCAGAC